GTTCAAATAATTTTGCAAACAAATGGTGCCTTCAGATAAAAGCCTAATGATAGTTGAACCACATGTATAGGGCCTGATTTCTAAACCTAAACATCCGTGAAGAGTCAGTACTTCTGTTTATTACCTTCCACGGCTGTACCCCTTGTCTGCCTTGTTGAAACCCCACCCCCTCCCTTCTCACCCCCCACCAACTTACAAAGTAGGTGCTACTATTGCAAGCCCTCATCACAAAGGTGGAATGGCCTGCTTTCAAATGTGAATTTGTACATGTAGCCACTAACTTTTTTCAAAATTCTCTCCACAGTCTTTTCTCATGAGGAAATTCTATTTTAATGATGAGGAAACTGGCTTCTTTAAGAAAACCAAAAGGAAAGTCACTCCCAAGAACCCAATGACTGGTAATTATCTCAGCACCTCTAACCCTCTGGAGAACACTAACCCTCTGGAATTAAAAATAAACAAATGGGTTATACAATTATGGGTATGCCGCTAGGGAAGTCAGAAATGGAGAAGGATTTGGGGGTCATTGTAGACCGCAAACTGAAAGGTAGTTTGCAGTGCCAGGCTGCTGTAAACAAAGCTAGCAGGGTCTTGTCCTGTATTAAAAAGGGGATGTATTACAGGGACAAGTCTATAATTTTGCCACTTTATAGATCATTGGTTCGACCACATCTGGAGTACGCGGTCCAGTTCTGGTCACCAGTACTAAGAAAAGATGTCCTTGAGTTGGAAAAAGTCCAGCTGAGGGCAACCAAACTAATTAGGGGTATGGAGGACCAGAGCTACGAGACAAGGCTACTAAATTTAAACATGTTCACATTGGAGGTGAGGAGATTAAGGGGGGATATGATCTCCATGTACAAAATGTTCAATGGTGGTAGCAACATTAGCGATAAACTGTTTAAAATTAACTCCATTACAAAAACTAGAGGCCACCACCTAAAATTGGTGGAAAAAAAATTCCAGCACAAGGGGCGAAGGGGGTTCTTCACAGTAAGATCAGTTAGGGTCTGGAACTCACTGCCACAGGCGGTGATTTCAGCAAATAATGTGGAATTGTTCAAGAAACTTTTGGACGATTTCTTAAGGGACCGTAATATACAGGGGTACGGGTACTCCTAGAATGAGATCCTAATAGGTTGGACTTGATGGACTAATGTCTTTTTTCAACCTCAAATACTATGTAACTATGTAACACGTAAGAAAATAACAGTTTCAGGTATCTGGTCAGATATTTTAGTTCTCTAAATGGAACCGGTGCTTTGGATGTACAGGGCAAAGCAGCAGGTTAAATTTTACACCCTTCTTTGCAGCATCTAATGCTTACCTTGCCTTTGTTCCTATACTGTGCTCCATTTGTTGCTGGGAGAATCCTTGTGCACCAGTTGGACCTTACACAGGGCTAAGGGCTCCCCCACCCTAAAGTTGAAACGCTGGGCTAAATCACAAAACACCAGTGCTGCATTGGAGTGCTGCACCTGGATATCCGGAAGTATCGGGCATCTTTCTTTGTACATTAAAGTCAACCTGTTGGTTTGCCCATACAAACAGGTTGACTTTGGTAAGGTCTTAAGGTAATGTACCTTAAGGACACACTGACATTTGACTTTTAAAAAGAACCAATCATGACCGGACTTCTGCAAAAATCTGTTCATTACTTGATGGGTGGATATTTGCTTGCCTATTTAACTTACTTAGTTTGAACCCCAACACTCATGGTGATAAGCAAAGTTTAGACACAGCACACTTGAAATGTGGCATTTGCTGACCTGCATGTATTCTCCTTTGGGTGCATAAAGTGTCCACCATGACAACTCTCTCTTTACAGACCCCACCATGATGACAGAAATGATGAAAGGTAACCTGACCAACGTTTTACCCATGATCGTCATTGGAGGCTGGATCAACTGGGCTTTCTCTGGATTTCTCACAAGTTTGTGCTTTTCATGCTTTCTTTAGTGGGGGACACACTTTCAGTAAAGCCCTTCAAAGAACATTATTATTATGTGCAATAACTAGTAGCAACCACATTTTCTTAGTTCATATTAACAAAAGATGAATTCTAGTTTTGGTTCATGCAGCTTAGTCTACACTGTAGTCTTTACTGAAGAAGTCCTTTTTATAAAGAGTTTGTTCTTCTTTCTTAGCCAAAGTTCCCTTTCCCTTAACACTACGATTCAAGCCAATGTTACAGCGTGGAATCGAGCTGGTCTCTCTGGATGCTTCCTGGTAAGAGCATATAAATTTATCATCTCCATTTTTCCAGTCGTCACAATGGCTCTGACATGTATTTTGTTTGTAGGGTCAGTTCTGCATCCTGGTATTTCCTCAATGTATTCGGTTTGCGTAGTATGTACACTCTAATTCTGGGACAGGACAATGGTGAGTAGAGAGAGGGGAGGGAGACAATAACAGCTTTGCTGACCAGAATAAAATGTAACTTGCTAGACTGAGTATTCGAATGAAAATGTGGGTGTATAGTTAAAGATCTTGAGAACAATATTTCTTCACATATTTAAGTCTACAGCTAGTAATATATCCTTGGCCCCTTTTGGTTTAGTGACTGGCTCAATTTAACCTGCCTATTATTTTGAATTGGCAATACATGATGCTGATCTTGTCTCCTGCATTGTCACCACTTTTAATGTGACTTGGTGTAGAGCTAGGGACAAGTATAAGTTCCTGTCACTCATGTTATCAGGTCACATACCCTTTCTTAACCAAACTCTCAATCATTACCAGGAGAGTTGGGGTGGTGTTAAACATGCTGTAGCATTATGAAAAAATGCCTTTACAGTTCTCTGTCTTTTGCAGCTGCTGATCAAAGTCGTATAATGCAAGACCAGATGACCGGAGCAGCCATGGCTGTGCCCCCTGATACTAATAAAGCTTTTAAAGTGAGTATCTTGGTTGGGAAAATGTAATGGAAGATGCTGGTCTATCCCACCAGTCGTTTGGAACTTATGAAGTGAAAAAAATGAAGGGCTAACTGTCGTAAAGCTAAGGGCAGTGCTGGTGGATGTCGGACATTTTATGTGAAATTATGTACGGGGAGTAGTGGCTACAGAATTTTCTCGTGTTGTATCTGATCTAGCGGTAAAACTAGCTACAGATTCAGACTTTTAGGAGTTATTCATGTTCTTATAATTGATGTTACTCTAGTGACTTGTAGCTGCAAAGAGAAGTACTGTAGCCAGAGTCAGACTACAGTGGAAAGTTCATTAAAAAAACTAAAATGGCATGTTAATTTGTGAATTATTTTTTTTTAACTTTTTTTCTTCTAGGCTGAATGGGAAGCCATGGAGATAACTGAGCATAAGTGGGCCCTGGAGAATGTGGAGGAAGAGCTGATCTCTAAAGACTTGGTTTTCGATTACAGCCAGTGATCACTCCACCCTGCCAAAAGAGATTCTTTGTCCAGAGTATTTTTCTTACAGACTAGTGCCATAAGATAATAAAATATTTTATAAGCGAAGAGCTCTTGCTCCTATTTTTATGTACTATTACATATTTCACAGTGTGAAATCTGAAACTAGTCATTCTGGGGAAGAAGGTTCATTATACAGGGGCATGTTCTAGTACTTGCCTTCTTCATGCTCCCCACATCCATGTGACTCACACCTACCTCCCACAATACACCATTAGGTGCCTGAGAGCTGTTACGAGGCAACAAGAGGGTCCTTGTTTTCCACGGGCTTTAAAAGGCAAATAGGGTGACATGTGTAAAGTAAGTATTAACACGGGCAGGGTCCTCTGACTCAAAAAGCATGTTACTTTTTCCTTACTAGATAAAGTACTGGCTTGCTGTAAAGCAAATGCAAGGTTTTCATAATTAACACCCAACCCCCTATGTTAAAAAAAAAAAAGGATTTTAGTACTCTCCTCCAATGAGGCACACACAGTCTTTAACCTTTGGGCTACGTGGGGCACAGCTAAGGCAGGAGCCTCTCCTTGCCTTGGCTCACCTCGCCATCAACTGCACTGTGTAGGACTGAGCTGTCAAAATCAAACAGCTCAGTGCTGCACGTTACACTGGAAGAGTGCTGCACTCTCCACCAGGGGCCATCGTGCTGCTGCATTTCTGAAAGCAAAGGTCCTGTAGAAAACAAAAATACTAGTTGCAATTTTTTTTGTTGCACGTAAAATATAAAAGATCAGGATGTGTCAGTTAGATACCAAACATGACAAGCCTTAAAATTGTGTGCGCCTGTGAAATGGCAAAAAAACACTACAATACCCAAATTGGCTATAGGCGATGCTTTAAAAGCCTTCAACTGCTTACCAATTTAGCGTTAACAGTGAGTGATGGCCCTAGAGTTATTGTTCTCATTCTGGCGTTGTTACATAAGTGGCACAATTGCTGTTTTCACATGTAGGCACGCCCAGTGTATGTACGTGGAGGCAGGGGATTTTACAATTTCCTTTTATATGTGACTTTAATTTTTCAAACTTATACACTTAATTTTTTTTGCTATAACCCCTATGTGATGGCAGATATACAGTGACAGGTCAGCCACTGGAAGTGTGCCGATCTAGGAGCAGCAAGCCTCTGGGCAGGACAGCGAAGGATGGGGAGCGCACACTCCCTAGTTGTATACAGTTGATCGGGCAGCTCTATAGTCACCCGTACCCTTATTATATTTATAAT